ACCTTCTGGCTGACAGACCAGGGACAAGCAGACTGGGTCCAAAGTGACAGACCTTCATTTTGAACAGCTTTGACACAGACATGTACACATAGAGCAAAGCTTACAAGGTCGGGGCGTTCTGCCCCCTGCCACAGGACTAAAGGCTGCCCTGTGGGACAATGGCAGGAGCAAGTTTCTGACCTCAGTTGAGTATGTATGGCCATGAGCAGAAAAGGCAGGGGTCTCCTAACCAAGCACATCTTGAACATCACCTGGGAGCTGGGCCTGGGCCTAGAAACTCACTTGTCTATCAACTTGAGCCCATCACTCATCATATCAGTTCTGTTGAGAGCAGGTAGAAAGCAAGTAGGCTTAAGTTATCCCACCAGACTAACTTGGTGAATGAAAAGGATTCACGCATTCTTTACATTTTAATTAAATGGATCAAGCACAGTCTCAGCCGAAGACTCCTGTTTTCCCTGGGTCCTTTAGTAACTCCCAGGGCACTCGTGCCTAGGGGTTAATCTAGGCATTCTGTTCCCTGCCTGGAGGCCACTCAGCTGCACCCAGTAACCCCACAGCAACCCCGTGGCTGGCCACTCCAGCGAACTCCAAGTGAGCCATTGTCCCAAGTGAGCCATTGCCCGAGTCTGCCCACTATGGCATTCAGCTGATTGACTGGCTTTGCCAGTTGCATGCCACTTTGGTCTAGCTTCCAAGGACCTGGTTTTTGGGATTCAACACACACAGCTGCTTCCCCAAGACATAAGCTGGCCTCTGGAAGGGCCAGGAATAGGTCCTTACTCTGGTGTCCAGAATCACTGCCTGGCTCCACTGTAGGTGATTTAATTTCAAAGGTCCCTTTTTTTCCTTCTGCCACAGGCCTTCGGGCCACCCTGACAAAATTCAATTGCTTTGGGTCTTAGAAGCTGGGGCTTTAGTCCTGTTTCTCCAGAAGGCCCCTGGGTCCTTATGCATATTCACTAACCCCCACCAGCAAATGACAGGCTCTGCTTTTCAGCACTGTAAACTTGCCAGTGTCCTCTCACCAGATGATAGCAGGTTGGCTGTTTGCCTTTGTCTATTTAACATAATTTCTAAAATATTACAGTTCTTTTATGTAGAAGCCAGTGTAGTGAACTCAGCAATGCAGGAGACAGTGAACTGGACCTTCTCTAGTGAGCTGAGGGAAACTGCCATACTTGTCCACTGGAGTTTAAGATCCACAGAAGTGGACAAGAAGTGGAAATGTTTTTGGCCTTTTTTCCTGACTTCCCCACAAAATAAGTCAGCAGATGTGAAATATATTTATATTTTTATTTAGGAACAATCAAAAGGTTTGAAGTACCATTGAGGCCCACTTCAAATTGTACAAGCATTTGTCCCTGTTCCCCTCCCTTATCCAAATCCACAGATACAAAATCTAGGAAATGTGCAATTTGCATGTTAGAAATAGCAGCATCCCCACAGGGGACCTCACGAGGCCTGGAGATTCAGCCCCAAGAGGGCAGCCCCACTCCTGCCTCAGCACGACCACAGTCCAAACCAAAGTTGACTTCCATTTTTGTTGTTAAAACATTTACCCAGGGTAAGGAATTCCCATTCTACCCAAGGCTTAAGTGATAGAGTATGCCATTTCTCAGTTCGGTCTCACACCTGGCCATGGCAGGAGATGGGGCCCTCTTGCAGAATTTGGCTAAAGTTTCATTGTGCCTCAGGACAAACAAAAACAGGACAGTTGCCTCTTACTTATTTAGCACCAAGATGATCACCTCTTCAGCCATCTCCACTGAGAGCAGACTGCTCAACAGTCGCTCAACAGTTACTCCCCAGTCTGAACTGCCCCGCAGTCTGGCCACAGGGAACAAGGCTTTGTGCTGAAGACCAGAATGCAAATGGGTGCTAGAATACCAGGAATCAAGACCTTGTCAGGAGGCATCTACAGGCCTTTGGCAACCTCCCTGACTTCCACAAAGGCTGCACTCAATAAAATCTCAATGAACAATGGCCAGCAGGGAAGAGAGGGAGGTGGGCGTGTTTTCTGTTTAATAACAATTATGGCACAATCTGACCCTCCTGACACTGTTGAACAAAGCAACTGCTCAGAAACTCGGCAGGAACTCTCTACACGGGTGACTGCTTCTCCCCTGGCCCCGACCCAGTCTAACAGGAAACAACCCAATTGTCGTGCTGGGTCCCTGCTGAGGAGTGGGTGCCGGCGTTCCCCACTCCTGCTGACAATCTCATGTGGGGCTCTGGCCCTGTTTCAAGCAGACTGCAAGAATGAGATAGCACTGTATGGGCAGGAATCAGGGATAGTGACAAATCTCCCTAAACACAAATTATAGGATTCATAGGTCCCATGTAGTAGATTCTCCTTTTAACAGTATTTCTACTCAGGTTTGACTCTTGGGACAGACCAAGCAGTTGTAGCTCTCTATATTTAGTGACTGAACAGCCTGACAGTTCACCTTTAACTCCAGTCACATTAGTTTTGAATCATCCATTTATGGAAAGGGAACAAAAGCTAAAAAGCATTAACCAAGAAAGACTACATTAACACATACAGGTGCTCCTCTGACACATGAGATTGTCAGCATGCACACACACACTTCAAGCTGGTCTCCTGAAGGAAGAGGCACTAATGGCAGGTAAATGCTCAGGCTCCTTTCAGTACCACGGCGCTCACAGCCTATCCAAGCAGACAGCAGGAAGGTGCCTAGAGTCCCCACCAGAGTGGCTGCCTTTCTCCCTTCTCCCTTGGCCCAGCTCCTGCCAGAGGAGCCACAAAAGCCAGGTTCTGAGGGCTGTAGAAGCTTGGCACCAGCAACAAGCAGCTGGTAACCATACATTCTCTATCATCCTCAAAGTCCTGCAAACCCAAAGATAGGACTTTCAAAAACTGAGGAAGGGGGTGCTTGCCTCTATCCTTGTCCATATGGTAACCAGAGTCTGCCTAGTCTCATTCCCAGCCTCTGGGTTCCCTCCTATACTCTAGACTTCAGGGCAGTTAGAATCCTGCTGGGATCTAGGGCTAAATAGAAGATTCTCTGTCATATTTCCAGTCTGATGAAGAACTGGGCCCCCATTCAAAGAGGTCAGATTTGTGGGCAGGCAAGAGCTCAGGAAAAAAGAACCAAAAAGGAGGGTCTCAACCCCTCTCTAAGGCCAGATGCTCTATGTATTCCCATTAACTTCACAACCAAGTGCAGATGCTTGGTGAATTCAGAGACAACTTGGGTTAGGCCTGCCCCACCTCTCCTGGTGTGACCTGGCACTGGTAACACACAGATTGCAGCAGAAACCTGTTGGTTCCATTAGCACTCAGAGCAAACCAGCACCCCGGTTGCCACTTTTCATCCAGCCATTCTTTCAAAATCAAAACTGGTTGCTTCACCAGCCCTGGTGTGGCATGGCCCAGCCATGTCCCTGCCCCATTTAAATGGACCAGAGAAAACTACATGGTGGGTACATTAGGTTGAAGCCTTATGTGGGGAAGGGACTTGAGCACAGGAGAAAGGCTTGAGCTCCACAACTCCCTGCCTGCTCAGGCACTGGAGCTTTTCTGAGATAAAATGCTCCCCCGGCCACATAGGGATGCTCCCGCCACTCCACGGTCTGGGCAGGCTGGCTGAGAGAGGTCTGTGCTCTCAGAGACAAGGAGAGAAGGAAACTGGGTCAAGAGACCCTGAAGAGGAGGGTCCATGTCTGCCCTGGAAGAGTTGACTACGTAGACCTTCATGTGTCTAGAAGATTTTTCTTCTCCAGCATGTAACTATCTTGAAAATGGATGTGATCTGTGAAAATTTAAACTTAATACAAAAGCACATCTTCTGCAAATGGTGAGTCAAACTGATGAAATCTCCCAGGTAAACTCTGAACAGGAAAAAGAGACATGACTTTAGGAAAATCCTAAACTAGGTTTGGTTTTAAAATTTTCTTCTTGGCCAGGAAAGGTGGCTCATGCCTATAATCCCAGCACTTTGAGAGGCCAAGGTGGGCAGATCACGAGGTCATGAGATTGAGACCATCCTGGACAACGTGGTGAAATCCCGAATCTACTAAAAAATACAATAATTAGTTGGGTGTGGTGGCATGCGCCTGTAGTCCCAGCTACTCGGGAGGCTGAGGCAGGAGAATCGCTTGAACCCGGAAGGTGGAGGTTGAAGTGAGCAGAGATCTTGCCATTGCACTCCAGCCTGGCAACACAGTGACTGTCTCAAAAGAAAAAAAATAATAATTTCTTGTCTGGCTCGCCTCTCCTGCAAGTTGCCTTTATCCACTTGGGCTGTGATATCAGAACTGAAAAAGCTGCACCAATCTGAGGATGTTGGTCCAAGAAGAGACAAGGAAAAAGAGGCCACAAGGCCCAAGCAGGGAGCATCCACACAGAGCTGAAGGAGGGAGTATGCATATAGTATCCAACCAGAAAGGCCAGTGTCCTTCCTCCATAAAAGGCAGCCAGGAGGGTGAAGGAGAGAACACAGGACCTGCAACTAGGTCACTCACTAAGATAAAACCCACAAGTGCCACATCTCAGGCTAGAGAATACAAAACTTCCTGGTGGGACAGCCTCCCATGGCCAGCTGGAGATGAGATCACTAGTACATGTGGGAGCCCATAAGGCACTATCCCATGGTCTATCCAATTTCCTCCTTGTGCTACTAGAGAGTGGGGCGCAGAGTCCTTGTGTCAAGGTGCTTTGGTCCACCAGAATAGCCACCTGTCACTCAGCCAAGAGAAAGGAGCTTTAAGTTGTACAATCACTACCAAATCGCAAAGCCCTGGCAAGCCATCTAACTAGAGCATTCTTTTTCAGGAAACCAAGATTTTCAAAAATGGCACTCCTCCCTCCCAAAATAAAAAAGCTCCTTTACAGTCAAAAACAAAAACAAGTAATCAAAATATACAAAGCACATGTATCAAATTTAAATTTCCTTTATCAGAATGATCTGGCTTCACCTATGAGAACTGGATCTACATGTAAAAAACAAACATGTACAAGACATCAGCAACAAAAAAACACTAAAAGATGATTTTACTATCTCTGACAAATCCAACTGCATACAGAGAAAAGAGATAAGTAGCCACTTTTTATAGGCTTTTCTTCTGAAGAGGCTAACACCATCCACCTCTCAACTCTGCAGCCCACAAATACCTTCTACTGATGGCAACAACACAACTTATCCCTTCAGCAGTATGCAAAACCACAGTGAGCTGTCTTGTGACAGGGCTACATACCTGGCTGCCACCCCACATCCCCCACTGCCACTGGGCTAGTGTGGGTGTGCCTCTGTGAACGACTGGCTGCATTCAGGGTTTTGCCCGCAAACCCTTGAGTACCTCCTGCAATGTCCCTTTAAGCACCTGCCTGACGACTGCCTCCCTCATCATCACTTTTGATCATCTTTCAAGGATAAGGTCTAGACCATACTCACTCATTCGCATCCAAGAGGAGGGGAAGAAGGGTCTGTCCAGCCTGCTGGGCTCCTTACATGGGCATTCTTGCCTTTTGTGGTGTAGCCCTGGCTGTTAGGCAGGGCCAACATCTGTAAGAAAAACATGCCAGGGCAGGCAGCACTGTACTTTTCCTCCTGAAAGATGAGCTGGTGCCCATGGCTGGGACACTCTCTGTCCTGCGTGAACTTGTCCATCAACTGCGTTTTGCTGTTTGGGTTGTAAATTAAATGTGAATACAAATAACCAATAAAATCCTTTCCACAGACCAACTCCTCAGCCAGTGCATGCAGGGCTCTGGAGGTGATGCCAGCAGGATTTGGAGGTGAGGCACTGGGTGGTTTCTCAGACACCTGGAGATGGCTTCCACCCCAGCCACCTAGTGCACTGGCATCCCTCCATCACAGGCTAATTCCCCAACATCTGTGTGCCACCAAGTTTCTCAAATGCACACGCCAGATGTACGTTTTATGAGAACAAATGATTATACTGTGTGTGTGTGTGTGTGTGTGTGTGTGTGTGTGTGTGTGTATAAATTAATCTGCATGTACATAAACACTACAAGGAGAAATTCCAAGTGTCTGTTCTCTGGAGGAAAGCAATCACTCCCCATTCCTGGCAATTCCTCAAAGGTTTTTGAGACAAAAAATCTTCACTCCCCAAATGGTAAGAATACAAAAATAGGCTGCAAAACTTGCTAAGTACTTACAGTCCCTGTTTGAAAGAAATAAGATGTGGTCCCTATTGGGACAGGGAGGGCAGAAGATGACACTTTAGAAGAACATGATTTTGGTTTCCAAAGAAGCCCTCTCCTGGAAGGCAGGAGGGGCTACCACCATGCTTGTCTTTGGAGCCACATGAGAATGCTGCCCTGCCAGGTCTAATTCCTTGGGGTGAGGGAGAAGGACGGTTCCTAAACCACCACCAGTGCTTCTTGCCCAAAGCCCCTGCCCTCTCTCTGGGGTCTTCTAGCACTGTCACCCAGCCAGCCCAGGAGGTGTCTGTGCCAACAAGGCCTGGCACCTGTGGCTTGGCACTCTTGGAAGCAGGTGGTTTCTCAGAGGTGAGCGGAGCTATAGGTGGACAGGTCTTTAGTTCACCCCTCTTTACCAGCCAGTCTCAGAGCAGCCGGTCTTGGGGAAATTGGGGATTTACCATTTAGTACAGCTCTGTAAGCATGTTTTCTAATTTTCAAAGGCACCCTTTCCTGTAATTTTCTCAATTCAAAAAAGGACATGAGGGTTAGGCTAAAGTAGAGTTTTTGTTTCCAAGTTTGGGGATACAAATATAGAATTTTGAAAGCATCCTCACAAGGACCAGTGATGCCCAGCACCCTCGGGCATGCATCCAGCACACCAGCCAGGCCCTGGGGTGGGAGCCAGGGGCACTCTGGGTGTCCTGCCAGGGACCCCTGCATGCAAGTGTTTGTGCTAAAGACCACCCTACCTCTGACAATTCCAAGAAGTGAACAAATCCCTTCAGCCTTCACTTTTACTAATGGGCCAGTGTGTTCTTCCTTCCCAAACATAGGAGGCTCTGAAATGAATGCGGAGAAAGGGCTCTGAAAACCGCAGTAGTCAAAGCTACAGGCGGTGGCTATAGACTTCCACTTACATCCCCACCTCATTTCTTTTTTCCATCTTCCTCTCACTCCAAACATGTCTAGATTTAAAAAAAAAAAAAAATTGCAGGCACATAGGTCAGCATATTAGGCTTAACAACACATGTTTCCTCAGTTGATCTGGTAACTGATAAGTTAGGGTCCATGATTCAAACTCCCGTGAAAAAGCAGAATTACGGTAACAACTAAAGAAAGTGGTAAAGCATTCAACATTAATCACATTGCCAGTCCATTTTTTGAACAGAGGGTTACAGCAAGTTCTGCACTGAGTAGCCCACAAGGCAAACCAAGCCTGGCATGAAATGTTAGCTGGTCACCATTTAATGCAGCAGAGATCCCTTCAAAGGTATTGCTTCCTTGAGGAACACAAAGGTGGCACCAAGGGGTTCCAGACGTAGCTTTGAGTGTGCCTGTAACTTCCCTGCCTGACTGTGGAAGGTGAGGGGCACCTGCGACCCAGCGATCCCCAGAGAACAGACACAGGTCATTTTGAGAGATGATGTAAAGGACAATGCACTGCTTGGCTAACCAAAGCTTCTATGTAATGACAGTGTTGATAATCTGATATTTTATTCAACATATATAGGCGGATGTATACGTTAAAAACTTGATTCTGTGTCTATGAATATGAATATGAAATCTGAACTATTTTATCCATTGGAAGGTAAAGGAAAGGTCCTACATTGTGGGAGGAAGAACTGATGAGAACCCTGTCTTTCTTGCTGCTTGCTTGGTGGTGAGCAGGCCAAGGATAGCGGCAGGCTCTGGACTGTCTGCGAGGACTCCGGAAGCTTTCTCAGGTGCCCAGCAGCCGGGCATGGGAACGGCATGTGGCAGCAGAGAGTTGGGTTTGGCTCTTCCACGTGGCAGGTGGTATCCCAGACTGGCCAGTCCTTCACATTAATCAGATCAAATTCAGTCTGTTTCTGAGAAGAAAACACATGCCTGTCACTCCACAGCAGCTGCCACCTGTGGTAGCCCCCAGGGCAGCGTGGTCCTTGCTATACCAGGGTGGTGTCACTGGCTTTGAGGATCTCTTAATTCCATGAGCAATGCCCTTCTGCCAGCCACTACCCCACCCTCCAGCCTGAGGGAATGTGGGTTAAGGACAGGATGCTGGCTCAACCTGGCAAGGCTATCAGACTCTCTGAGGGAACTTGCCAGGCCCCAGGCCTAGCAGCTGGAGCAGCAGTTTGGCCTCTCCAGGCCCACTAAATCCCCCTAGCTCCCCAGGCTTCCGCTACCACCATCTCTGGCGTCCTGTCCTAAAATGCTTCATCCTGCCCTCTCCCTCCAGGCTCTCCAGAACATACTGTTCCAATATAATAGCAGCTAGGTCTAGTTCTGATATGTATTCTACTGATGTCTTCACTTCACTTCACTTGCAACTTGCAACCCTAAAGTCAAAGTCAAAGCAAGGCTGATATCAGAGAGGTCCATCATCTGTGATTACAGAGATATGGCCCTTAGTCACAGCTGGCTGAGAAAGCCATGAGAAACCAGGTACAGATAAACAGACCAGCCCTTCCTGTACCCAGAGTTACCTGTCTCAGATACAAGAGGACAATGTCAATGGCATGGCCACCCCCTGCCACTCCTGCTCTGTCCCACAAAGGATAGCAATACATCACTTTGTGTTGGATTTGGTAGCTGAGGGGAGCCAATGCTTGTGATCACACCACTCATCACATTTTCATGTTGACTTAAAAAAAAAAAAACCATGGTAAAATATAAATAACATAAAATTTACCATTACAACAATTTTAAGTGTACAATTCAGTGGCATTAAGTATATTTACAATGTTATGAAACCATCATTCTATTTCCAGAAATTTTTCATCATCCTAAACAGAAATTATATATCCATTAAAATATAACTCCCCATGTCCTCCTCCCCATAGCCCCTGTAACCTTTATTCTACCTTCTATGTCTATGAATTTACCTATTCTAGATACCTCACATAAGTTGAATGGTACAATATTTGTCTTTTTGTGTCTGACTTATTTCATTCAGCAAAAATGTTTTCAAGGTCCATCCATGTTGTAGGATGTATCAGAATTTTATTCCTTTTTTTAGCTGAAGAATATCCTACTGTATGTCTACACACCACATTTTGTTTATTCATCTGTTGATAAGTACTTGGGTAGTTTCCACCTTTTGGCTACTGTGAATAATGCCACTAGGAACACTGGTATACAGGTACAGGTGAGTCCGTTTTCAGTCCTTGGGGTGTATACCTAGGAGTGAAACTGCTGGATCATATGGTAATTCTATATTCAATTTCTGGAAGAACCACCTAATTGTCTCCCAAAGTGGCTGTACCATTTTATGTTCCCACTAACAATGCACAAGGGACCCAGTTTCTCTACATCCTCCCAACACACTATTTTCTCTGGGTGTGTGTTTGTAACAGCCATCGTAAGTGTGAAGTGGTATCTCACTGTGGTTTTGATTTGCATTTCCTTAATGCCTTATGTTCATCATCTTTTCATGTACTTATTGGCCATTTGTATATTTTCCTATGAGAAATGTCTGTTTAAATCATTTGCCCATTTTTGGATTGGTTTTGTTGTTAAGTTTTAGGAGTTCTATACATATTCTGAATATAAATCTCTTATCAGATGTATGATTTTCAGTTATTTTCTCCCATTCTGTGGGTTCTTTTCATTCTTTTAACAGTGTTCTTTGAAGCACAAAATATTTAGATTTTGATGTAATCCAAATTATCTATTTTTTTCTTTTGTTGCCTATACTTTGGGTATATAAGAAATCATTGCCTGGCCAGATGGGTGGCTTGTACCTGTTACCTCATCACTTTGGGAGGCTGGGAGGAATGCTTGAAGTCAGGAGCTCAAGACCAGCCTGGGCAACAGCAAGATCCTGTCTACACACACATACACACACAAATAAAATTAGCCAAGTGTGCACACTTGTAATCCTAGCTACTCAGGAGGCTGAGGTAGGATGGTTGCTTGAGCCCAAGATTTTGAAGCTAATTTTCCCAGCACCACTTGTTGTAGAGGGTGTCTTTTCCTCAATGTATGTTCTTGGTACCTTTGTTGAAAATCAGTTGGCTGTAAATATGTGGCTTTATTTCTGAGTTCTATATTTTTTTCCTTTGGTCTGTGGGTCTATTTTTATACCAATATCATGCTGTTTTGGTTAGTATAGCCTTGTAATATATTTTGAAGTCAGGTAATGTGACGTCTACAACTTTGTTCTTTTTGCTCAAGATTGCTTTGACTATTTTAGCTTTTTTTTGGTCTGTACAAATTTTAGGGTTTTTCTATTTCTGTGAAAAAACTACATTGGTATTTTGACAGCAATTGCATTCAATCTGTAGACTGCTTTGGGCAGTATGATCATTTTAATGATATTAGTTTTTCCAATCCATAAGCATGGGATGTCTTTCCATTTATGTCCTCTTCAATTTCTTTCATCAGTGTTTTATAGTTTTTCTTCCAGAGATCTCTCACCTCCTTGATTAAATTTATTCCTAAGTATCTTTTTTTTGGTAGCTAATGTAAATCAGATTACCTTCTTGATTTCTTTTTCAGCTACTTTATTATTGGTGTATAGAAACTACTGATTTTTGCATGTTAACTTTATATCCTGCAACTGTCCTGAATTTGCTTATCAGCCTTAAGAGTTTTTTGGCGGAGTCTTTTTGGTTTTTCTAACTATCAGATCATGTCATCTGCAAAAAGGCACAATTTGACTTTCTCTTTTTCAATTTGGATGCCTTTTATTGCTTTCTCTTGGCTGATTTCTCTGGCTAGAACTTCCAGTATTATGTTGAATAGGGGTGGTGAAAGTGGGCATCCTTGTCATGTTCCGGTTCCCAGAGGAAAGACTTTCAGCTTTTCCCCATTCAATATGATGTTAGCTGTGGGATTATCATTTATGGTCTTCCCTATCTTGTTCTTTCTATGCAGTTTTCTGCGTGTTTTTATCATGAAGTCATGTTGAATTTTATCAAGTGCTTTCTCTGTTTATTGAGATGACCATATGATTTTTGCTCTTCATTCTGTTGATGTGATGCATTGTGTTAATTGAATGGTGTATGCTAAATCATCCTTGCATTTCTGGTACAAATGTTACATGATGATAATAATAATTTTTATTTATTTTTTTTTTGAGATGGAGTTTCCACTCTTGTAACCTAGGCTGGAGTACAGGGGTGTGATCTCGGCTCACTGCAACCTCTGCCTCCTGGGTTCAAGCAATTCTCCTGCCTCGGCCTCCCAAGTAGCTGGCATTGCAGGTGCATGCCACCATGCCTGGTTAATTTTGTATTTTTAGAAATGGGGTTTCACCATGTTGGCTAGGCTGGTCTCGCACTCCTGAACTCAGGTGATCTGCCCACCTTGGCCTACCAAAGTGCTGGAATTACAGGCATGAGCTACCATGCCCAGCCAAGGATTATTGATATGTGAAGTTTTGTTATTGTTATGTTGTTGTTTTCTGGTTGATGTATTTTTTGTTTCCTTTTCTTTCACTTGGTATTGTAGTTTAGTGGTTTTCTGTAGTGCATTTGAGTCTTTTCTCTTCCTCATCTCTGTGTTTTGCCAGTGAGTTTTATACTTTCGTGTGTTTTCATAGTGGTAAATGTCATACTTTCACTTCCATGTTTAGGACTCGTCAGCATTTCTTGTAGGGGCAGTATAGTGGTGAAAAATTTTCTCACCTTTTGCTTGTCTTGGAAATACTTTATTTCTCCTTTGTTTATGAAGGATAATTTTACTAGACATAGTATTCTTGGCTTTTTTTTCCCTTCAGCCCTGTGGATATATCATCTTATTTTCTTCTGATCTGTAATGTTTCTGCTAAAATTCACTGTTAGTCTAATGGGGCTTCTTTTTTTTCTGAGACAGTCTTACTATGTCACCAGGCTGGAGTGTAGTGGCGCAATCTCGGCTCACTGCAACCTCCGCCTTCCAGGTTCAAGTAATTCTCCTGCTTCAGCCTCCCAAGTAGATGGGACTACAGGTGTCTGCCACCATGCCTGGCTAATTTTTTTTGTATTTTGAGTAGAGATGGAGTTTCATTATGTTGGCCAGGCTGGTCTTGAGCTCCTGACCTTGTGATCCACCCAGCCTCAGCCTCCCAAAGTGCTGGGACTATAGGTGTGAGCCACCATGCCCGGCTATGGGGCCTCCTTTATAGTTGCTTAGACATATTTATCTTGCTGTCCTTAGAATTCTCTGACTTTAGACAGTTTGACTATAATGCATCATGGAGAAGACCTTTTAGCATTGTATCTGTTTGGGGGTATCAGGGCCTCCTATATCTAGATGTCTAAATCTCTTGCGAGATTTGAGAAGCTTTCATCTATTAATATTATTCATTTAATAAGTTTTCTCACTCTTTCATTTTCTTTTTTTTACCCTCTGGGATCCCAATAATGCAGATATATAGCTGCTTTATTGTGTCCCATATGTCACAAGGGCTTTGCTCATTTTTCTTTATTCTTTTTCAGGTAAAAAGACCTGTGTTCCAGATCTAAGATTTTTTTTCTGCTTGATCTAATGTATTGTCGAAGCTTTCAATTGTGTCCTGTGTACTTTGTTTCATGAAGTCTTCTGTTCAAGAACTTTTTTTTAATACATATATCTCTTTGATAAAATTATCATTCATTTCCTGAATTGTTTTCCTTATTTTTCACATTCTCTTACATCTCACTGAGCTTCCTTATACTCAATAATTCGAATTCTTTTTCTGGGATTTTGTGAGTTTTTTTATTGGAATCTATTGTTAGAACTTTATTGTGTTCTTTTGAAGGTGTCATATTTCCTTGCTTTTTCACACTTCTGTGTCCTTATGTTAATATCTGCACATCTGGTGTAACAGTTGCTTCTTTCAATTTTTTGCATTTGCATTTGTAGGGAAGAACTTTCTCCTAGATGTTTCTATGGTGTCGGCTGG